GACTCTTAAGAGTCCCCTGGACTGCTAGGAGGTCAAACCAGTCAATCTTAAAGGAAATCAACCCTGATTGCTCATTGGAAGGATTGATTATGAAGCTCAAGCTCAGATACTTTGGTCTGAAAGAGGACTCCTTGGAAAAGACCCTGATGTTGGGAAAGATTGAAGGCAAAAGGAGAAGGGGATGGCAGAGGATGAGATGATTAGATCACTCTAATCACTGAAGCAATGAGCACGAAACTGAGCAAACTTGAGAGGCAGTGAAGGACAGGAAGGCCTGGCGCGATATGGTTCATGGGGTCACGAAGAGTCGGACACGATTTAACAACTGAACAACAACGTTTACCATAAAGAAGAGAAGGCTACAGGGTTGGGGGGGGGCAGGACAGCAGTCTTCCAGTGCTTGAAGAGCTGTCCCAGGGAAGAGGGAGGGGATTTATTCTCTGTAGTGCCTGAGGGTAGGTCAAGAACTAATGGTGGAAGCTTTGCAAAGGGAGATCCAAACTCGAACAAGGAGGCATTTCCTGACTGTGAAAACTATTAAGGAGTGGATGCTTTAACACTGGAGATTTTCCAACAACAGTTGGACAGCTATTTGACCAGGATGGTATGAAGATTGCTGCCCTGCACTGATGGTTGGACTACAAGACCTCCACAGTCCCTTCCAACCCTAGGATTCTGGGATTCTAAGTATGGCTATTCCAGAAAAAACACTCTGCCCAGAAACTCTGAACATGGGAAAAGCTGCCCAGTGGTTAACTGAGGCCACTCCAGCTGCCTGCAGGATTCCAACTGCAATCTCTGAGCCTATTACATTTTTCCAATGTTGTGGTTGTAACCCTCAATCTTCCAGCACAAATCCCTGCTTTGCTTAATCTTCATTCAGACGACAGGACCTGTAGAATCATCAGCTTAGCTACTGGTTCCTTCTGACAATGTACTTCCCCATCCACCTTTCTTGCCCTACAGTGGATGTCTCACCATCAGCTGATATAAGCTGGAATCATTTTTGACTATTCTAACCTGCCAATCTTCCTGAGAGACACTTTCCAGATATCTTCTGTCCTAGTAGAGGGACCACATTTCAAACCAATCATATTTTGATATGGCTCAGCAGATATTAGTGTATCTAAAGCTGCACCGATGCTTGTCCCGCCCAGTACTTGCGCTGTGGAATGGCAGACCATTCAAAAGCACCTTTCCTGGTGCTGCACCTACCCCAGCCACAGCAAAGAAAGGAAAGGCAGCCAGAGATAGCTGGAGAGACAGACTGGCCCCAAAGTCCAGAAATCCAACCACAACGCCTGAGACCCAAGCGACTCTCATGGCCTCATCCTAACTCTAACCCACAAGCACACAGAGCTACCTACCTTAAGATCCCTGCTCTGGGAACGGAGAAGGTCCTGGATATACCCTTTTGGGTCTTTGGAAAAGCTCAACATGAAATCTCGCTGAATCTTCAACTGGTTGATGGACTCAATTGTCTCATGAATCTGAATAAAGAAGGAAACAGAGGTCCATTTCTCAGCAGAGTTAGGGTTAGGGTTTACATTTACAACAAAGGGCCCTCAAAGTAAATTCTTCTAGTCCTTTGCAGCCGACTGAAGGCAATGCTCAGCACCTTCATTTCTACTCACATTCTCCTTAGAGAATTCTTTTACCAACTAGTATCTAAGGTTGGCAGTACATTTGCAGTCTCTCTAGTGGGTTCAAGATGTGATTGTCTACCACAGGATACAAAAGCAACCAATTTTCCCCTTTTCACCTCTTCTTACACATTGAGCAGGCTCAACCAGTGACATTAACAGAAAAATAAGTATGTTATACATTGCAGAGAGATTTCTGGGCAGCCCAGAAAGTGGCCAGCATGAGTTGTGGAAATAGCACATTGCTGGAGAAGCTTTGGAGAGAAGACACAGAAGATGTGCCTTTGCAGATGCCAGGGTCAGCAGTCCCATCTTTGGACAGTAAGGGTTGTAGGTCGGGAGAACCCCAAGAGTTTGGGGTGTTTTAGGTCAAGCAGATCCTTCTTGCATTTTATTTACGAAATGTATCGTTTTCACACTACTCAGGAATCTCTGGGAAGACCCCAAAAGTCAGGTGTGAAGCTTCCCTTTCTCCTGTGGTTGCCGTCCCTCTCTGGAATTTGCTATTCAGATGAAAGCTATCCAAACAGAACATACAGGGTCTAGGTTGCTGGATGAAGGAGGTCTTCAATCTGGTTCTGTGCTTCTGATAGGCTTGGCAGCTGGCCCTCAGAAGACCTTGTAAAAATATGGAGGCCCTTCTGAAAGCCTTCAGAAGGCCACAACCATATCTTATGGTTGCAAATGTTCCAAGTTCAGTATGAAAAAAGAAAGGGAGGGTTCATGCATGTGTGGGCAGGCGTACAGTACATTCAAGTATGGAATTGGAATTTGCCATCAACATCCACTTAAGAGCCATCTCCATCCCGGCTCTTTCTCACACAAGGGACAACTTCACCAGTAGCAAGCAAAGGGGAAGGGGATGGGAAACAACCTATCCTAGACATCACAACCCACAGCAAAGCAAACCAACAGAAGACGGAGGAAAAGCCCCCCTGATCTTTCTTACAGGGTTTGTCCTCAGATTGCGGCCACACATGCTTGCCCGCTTCAGTTTTTCTCCCACCTTCCTAGGAAGACATTGCTATACTGTTGAGTGATGCTCTGTATCCACACCCTTCCATTTCACCATGCCTTAGAGACCCAGTCCCCCTCACCCAGCTTTCCCACCAGACACCTTGTTATCCAGTGCTGTGATCTCCTGCTGGTTTGCTGTCGAGAGTAGAAAGCTGCTCATTTGCCCTTTCAAAGGATCCTCTACCTCAACATCTATGTCATAGCAGGCAGTCTTCTTCTGGTCATTGGGGTCCACACTAAAGGAGAAATCCAAAAGCTTCAGAGCCCACAGCATCAGCCAAGTTCCCAGTACCCAACCTGGGGATGTTCCAGGTGGAGGGATAACCCCTCCTCCAAGAAAGCTGGCTTAGCAGTATCCATATCAGGGGCTCTCCAGGCACTCTGGCAGAGAAGGGTCTTCCCCAACCTTTGTGGGAGATGTTGTCAGAAATTGGCCCATCTGCTCCCAAGGCAGATGACTGTTTCCCAAACACCAGAACTATGGCCCTTCCCCTGAGCAAACTGGGCTTCAGACTGCTGTAGCCATGGACCACATTCCTGATTCTGACTCCCAGCTCCTTCTTTGGTGATGTTGGAAGGGTACTTTGGACATACAGGGACCAAGGGCTAGCTGAACTAGAGTGAATCCATATTTGAACCAAATGTAACTTCTCTGCAGACTTGCTTAGCAAACATGACGGATAATGAGCTTAATGAACTGTATGATGAATACTCAATCTAATGAAGTATAGACAGTCCATCCAAACACAGAGGTGCATGGAAAGGCAACAACAGGGTAAAGTAGACTAAAATTTCAGTAATGTGCCAAAGATCAGGAAAAGACTGAAACATGACTGACAGAAAGAAGTATCAAAAGTCAGAACATGAACTTCCATGATCAAGAACTCCCCATGAACAGCTAGACCCCTCTCTACATTATCACAATATTCGATGACAAGACTAATGAAAACTAGATGGTCAGAATCCAGTCCATTTAGTTTATAAAACAGGAGACAGAGGAGCTCAGTGTGTATGTGTGTGAAGTGTGTAAGAATACGCGTGTAGTCTGCAATAGCTTCTCCATTCTATAGCTTGTTAGGGTTTTTTCCTGCTTTCTGCCTGCTCCCGTCACTAACTTCTGCACACTTTTCTGGAATCAAGGAGTTACAAGACAATTTTTGGTAATGTGACTTTTGATACTTCTTTCTGTCAGTCATGTTTCAGTCTTTCCCTGGTCACTTATTTAGATAACTTCTCTACTTACTTTAGTTAGGAAAATCGTGCTGTTCAGCAATGTGTACCTCTAGTGAGCTGTGCTGGAATTGAGACACACTGTATACTAAAGGGACAACTGTTCCCACGCTTTGATTCAATAAACCTACACAACTGTCCTACTGGGTACTGCTGGCTTCTGTGGTTATGATGCTCGCTGGACATAAAGATCCCGAGAGGGAAGGAAATAAGTTCTCCAGGTTCCCCCCGCAAGAGCGATGGAGAATGTGGGGCAGAGCATGAGCGCCCTCGCTCGGCCAGCCACTTCTTTCCCCATGGCACTGGCAGGAACATCTCAAGCGTCTCACCCTCTTTCTCAGCAACGTCAGGTTTCAAACTGCACCTGCCACGGAGGGCAAGAAGTGCCACATCCGAAGCTCAGGCCTGTAAGAGTCCCAGAAGGCAGGAACTGGGGCAATCTTTTGGGGAGGGGCTATTCTAGCACAGCAAAGATGCTGACCTGATGATGTGATTGATAACAATGGGATCTGGCGGCAGCAGCAGGTTGGTGAGCCTCTGTGGGATCTCGGAAAACTTCAGCCGTGAGCAATCAAAGATCTGAAACAGCAATGGAAAATGTCAGAGTTCACCCTGGAGGGCAATCAGTTCCAACTCTCCAGAGGTGCCACCCACATTCAGCAACCAGGTGCAGAGGTTTGATGCAGCCAGATAAGTCACTGTACAGTGGACAATGTCTATGCACAAGTCATGTTGTCTGAGCTGGGCAGTCATAGAAATTCATAAACAAAGGAGTAAATAAATCTGCCTACTGTGGGTGTGTCAGCCCCGGGGTTAAAATGCTAGCCTCCCCCCCGCCCCCACCGCTTTCAAGAAGGCTTTGGGGCCATTCTTTCCCTGCCCTTGAAAGGGAGACATCTGTCCATGCTTAGAGGCCGGTCAGTCCCTGCCCTGCCAGCTCCAGCCCTTATGGAAAGAGCAAGGGGGCCCTGGATGTCCAAAGACGGCTGGCCCCAGACCAAGAGCTGGCCTGGCCTGTCACTCGTTCCACCGGCTCTGGCTGGCAGACAGGGCTTACGCTTTCTTCCCCTCCCCTCAGTCCAGTGGCTTGGCTGCAGCACAGGCCATTGCACGCCTCCTTTACCAGCCACAGAATGCGCAATGGGCAAGAGGTAGGGAGGGAACCGAATGGAGAGCAGGCACCTGCCCCTCTGTTCCTAAGTCCCTTGGCTTCTTCCCCTGCTGAACAGGGCAGGACTCCTGGGTCCACCTTGGGAACCAGAAAGGTCCTTCAGGGTCAGTCCAACAACAGCTCTGGATCCCTGGAGATGGAGCCAACAGGAGAGGAATCTGCTGCTGCCCAGAATTCCCACTTACTTCACTCTTTCTGACCCCAGCAGCCCAGAGTCATAAAATTTGATAAAGGGAGGCAGCTCTGCCCAGGTATGGCTGTTAACAGTACTCCTTTCCTTGCTCACAAATGGAGCCCCCAGAAAAACCACTGGAACGCTCGTCTCCTAAAGGGGCACTCAGTTCCAAACAAGTGGGTAGAGCGAGCCCCAAAAAGACTCCACATTAATGGGCTCAGTCGAACCGAGGCTGGGCTTATTCTTACAGTTTTCAAGGCTCCGCTTTTACCCCAGATTATCATTAAAGAGGCCATGCTTCCTTGGTTTCATCGGCCACCTTGGGCTTGACAGAGGCAGAGCTACCCCTTCCTTTCAGTACCACCTCTAGTGACCAAGGATCTGCTGGAGTGTATCTTTGCCACCGCCAGGAGAAGGCAGAACCTCCCACAGCCTGCAATCCAGGTGTAACGTGGGGAAAAGGAAGCAGCGCCTCCTGCTGGGATAAGCGGGGAAGCTCCAGAAGAGAAAGGGAAGGCCCCCTTCCCAGGCTTCCTTGAGGAAGAAGTGGCACCCCGGGAGCTCAAGGGACAGGGGAAGGCCCTGTCCTCCCCATGAACCTACGGAGACCCCCACCCGGATACAAGGCCACGTGCTCCCAATACTAGCCAGCAAGGAGCTTGGCTCTCTCTCTGTCCACTGCTACCAGTGACCGGGTCCCGCTCAGGGGTGCAGCTCGATCCCAGAGTCGGGACATGTCCAAATCAGCCCCCCCGCTCCCATTTCTGCTGCAACCGCTGCTCACCTGCTGGAAGTATTTGTCACAGTTTATGTATTCCTTGTCATGGGAATCCTGCAGTTTGTTGGTCTTGATGTACTGCCAGAGGGCCTGGATGATGGCAGAGCGCGTCTGCGTGTGGATCCCCAGCAGGCGGGCCAGGCGAGGATCGAGTTTGAACTGAGGAGGCTGCGGACAGAGAGCCAACGCAAAGGACTCACAGCTGAGGACGCCATAAGGGCCAAGGGCTTTGGGCAACTGGGCCCCTCCGAGGCTTTCGAGCAGCACCGCCACCCTCAGGGTCTGGTCCGTGAGTGGGCAGAAGGCACCCTGCCTCCCCAAGAGATCTGCTGTCCCCAGAGGAAGCCCCGGACACTGCCATCTGCACTTGCTGCCACGTTTTCTGTGGCCTCACTATGGCTTTCCCAGATTTACTCAAGGTCTTCATGTGTCAGTATTTTTAAAAATAACTGAAGTCATCTATGAAGAAAATTAATTTTGGCATTCTCGGGCTCTCTTTCTCCTGCATTCGAGTTTAACAGTCCAGCCGCAGAGTGCAGTCTGGAAAAACTCGCCCGTGGGTCCCTCGGCAGGGGGGAGTGGGGCGGGCAGCGTGGCACGGCACGGCACGGCTCCTGCACCTCCCCACTATGCAGGTGGCACTTATTTATTCACTTGTTTATCATATCATGCCCAATCTTGTAGCTACCCATCTCACAGTTGTAATTCTGGGCAGCACATATAGCTTAGAGCTAAAACCAGACGTAAGAAACACAAGAAGAGTAACGGTGGCTGAAAACAACCCCAGCTCCAATCGCAAAAAGGACAAACTCACAGTGGCAGGCTCACCCAACTTCCACATCCCATCCCCGAGGGAACATGCACGTCTTTAAGGACCTCCAGAAGGCTAGTAGGGCTGGGGCTCCATACATCTCAGGGACAGATGGTGCTCCAGAGGGCAGGCCTGCAACAGGGACAGCATGCTTCCTGGGCCCTGCCAGGTGGCACTATTTATTAGATGGGGCCACGAGCACACCCAGCCCGCTGGATCTAGTGGGATGGGCAGAAACCACCAGAGAAAGGCAGTCCTGAAAAAAACTGGTCCAGCAGCATGTCGGGCTTTATAGATGACAACCTTGAATTGTACCCAGAAGTCCACTGGGAGCCAGTGCAGCTCACGGAGCAGTGGTGTAATATGGGCATCCCCCATCAGTACCCACACCACTGCATTCTGGACTACTTGTAGCTTCCAAAGGAGCTTCGAGAGCAGCCCCATGTGTAACACATTGCACAGGAGTAGTCCACTTGGAGGAGACCCAGGCATGAGCAACAGTGAGCAGTGCCTCCCAAAGGGCACATTGGTGCACAAGATGAATTTGTGCAAAAGCACTCCTAGCCACAGCTGCCACCTGCTCTTCAAATAGGATCCGTGAATTCAGGAGGACCCTTATACTGCACACCAGATCTATTTTTTATTTATTTATTTATTTTATCTTATCTGTATGCCTGAGGCAGTGCTGTCCCGTCAAGAACTGACCAAATCCAGGAGGCCCTAAAACCCAAAGCCACTTAGACATGCTATGGTTGGGTTGAAGCCTTTTCTTCTCCATCTAGATCCCCACAACTTCCAGGCACCAAGGAAGAACCCCAACAAGCCCGTGGTAGAGATGTGCCACAAATGATCTCACCCAGCAGCTTCATGTAAAGGTTAAACAGGATGGGGAGAGAATGGAGCCCTGAGGGATCCCACAAAGAAGGGGTCTTGGGCTAAATCTGTCTCCCCCATAAACACTGACCGGAACTGGCCCTGGAGAAAGGAGGAAAACTATCACCACACCGTGCCTCCCACTGAGCCGATCCAGAAGGACACCGTGATCGAGGCTATCACAAGCTGTTGAGAGAGCAAGGAAAGCCAGGATGGACACACCACTCCCATCCCGCTCCTGCCAGAGGTCATCCACGGGCGCAACCAATGCTGTCTCAGCCCCATTCCCAGGCCTGAATCCAGACTGAGAGGGGTCCAGACAATCCGCTTCTTCCAGGGCTCTCTGAAGCTGTAGCATGACCACCTCTCAACAACCTTCCTAAAAAGGGAAGGTTGGAGACAGGACGAGTATGGTCCAACGCGGTTGGGTGTCTTGCACTCCCCACTCCCAGACCCCACCCACGTTTGCCAAACGGGATCAGTTGATTCCGTGCAAGATGCCAGGCAGCTCAATTCATTGGCTGCCCTCCCACTGAAGCAAGAAATGGCTGGAACAGCTCCAGGAGTACCCAGTGGCCCTGGTGCCTTCCGTAGAGACAGGAATTTAGAGTCAGCTGCAGAGAACAGCTGCTGCCCCAGAACACGGCCCTGTCGGTTCCCTTCAGCAGCCCTTAGGCCACGGGGTCTAGAAAGGTTTGGCCCTTGGGGAGAGCAGTGACACCACAGCAGTGTGGGACATCTGCCCGCCAAGGCTTGAGGCTTTGGAACAGCAGAGAAGACAGGCCGGCGTGTTGCTGGACTGGAGTCTGGGGTGACGACAAACCTCCCTTCCCCATATTTTCTGCTCTGAGGCTACCCAGGACCATAACAAAATGTTGGCATCCCAAAAGCCCAGCTCAGATAATTTTCACAACACAACCCTGTGACTCCGGAGCTCGGCCTCAGGGGGCTGAATGCCTGCCAAACCCCAGACCATCGTGCTCACAAAGCCCACTCTCAACCTGGTAATCCAGCATGAGCAGCAGAGTGCAGCGCACACTGACGTCTCCCGGCCTCTTCACCTGGAAGCCATCCGTCTCCTGGGTGGTGGGTGTCCGGTGCCACTGCCAGAGATAACAAGAACGCCCCTTAGAAGAAGACCCTCATCTTCCCTGGATGATCAGCAGTAGCACCACCACTTCTGCCAAAGTCACAAATGCTTATCAACCAAAATACCTGAGGCAATGTAGCCCTGGCACCTATCCGTATCCTTGGTGGCTTCATCAGGAGGGCCCTGCCGATTCTGACAGATTGCAAAGCCCATGGAGAGGGGCGTGTGACTTGGCCCAACAAGCCCGTCATGCTAGGGACGAAGAATCCGCTAGCTGCCTTCTGGACGCCGGACTGCAACTCCCACCACCCCTGGCCACTGATCACGCAGTCTGGCACAGAAGCTGGCGATCACCACCTTTGGGTGGTCACGCACTACCCATCTCTGCCATTACTGGCTATTCAACTGCACTTTAGGGTTACTCTGTGCAGCAGCTCAGTCTCGGGGCAGATCTTGACATATCCTCAAGCCTGGAAGCAAACAAGGTCTGGAGTTTTGCCTTAGTACTCCTATGTGAGGCTTGACCTACAGTCTTCAGTGCAGCTTAATACCATATAAATTAGTAGGGAACTATAACTGTAACCAAACTAATTGAGAGCGAAGGAGATAATGTCCCTTCAGTACATCTAAGACAGCAGAGGAGGCCTCCACAATGAAGGAAGCCCAGGACTGATTTCTCCAAAGATCTCTGCTTTTTAAATTGTTGTCACCCAATTTGTTTACCTCTCTCCAAATTAGATCAATTAGGTCAATATCTGCACAAGCCTCAGCAGTCTGATCAAAGCCACAAGGCCCCAAAATGCATACTGCAGTGAACTCCAGTAGTGAAAATGACATTACAAATGACCCAGGGAAGATCTTCCCAAGGTAGGGCGAACGTCCTCTGGGCTTCCCCATTTGCATTAGCAAGAAAATCACAGCTGCTGGCATGTTCCCCTCCTGCCCAAAGAGGCTAGGTGGACATGGCCAAGGGCAGAGAGAGTAGAAGGATACACAGATTAGCAACGTCAGGCAAATCGCTACGAGAGCTAAGGATCAAATCCTTTGTCTGGGCCTGGAAGAAAAGCCATTAGCCAAACCAGATGTTGAACACTGTCTATTCTATGGCCTTTCCTAATTTTCTGTGAGGGTCTCTTTCTAAATACAGCCTTTCCCTGCCCTTCCAATGTGCAAGCTCTGATAGTCCCAACCAGCCAGCCTCAGGCACAGAACACATGTCTGGCCCTTGGTCACTTACCAAGCCCAGCTTGACTGGAAAAAAGGAAAAAAAAGGGAGAGGGGTGCAGAACTGAAAAATAGTGGCATGAGGCTAACAGTGCCCCTCAGCCTCAGATTAGAGCTTCCCACTCCTAGGAAAAGAAGGGAAGTCCAGAAAGACTGGAGCATCTGGGTCCGCAGAATTCTACCTCAGGACAGCCTAGCTACCCAGCTAATTGTGATACCCTGTTTCCCCTTTATGGTGCTAAGTCAAAGTTATTTCCCCATTAAAGCTAGCAAATTCTGCCTAATTTCAGCCTTTACTCCTTCTTCAGACTGTGCGTGAGGGCCCCACTCATCATCTTCCTGTAATCCGTAGAAAGAAAGTCCCATTTGTGGTCTGTTCAGAAGACTACACAGTCACAGAATACAGGAGGTATGTTAGAGGGCATTTAGTCCAATCCCCCACCCGGTGCAAGATCCACTAGATCGTCTCCGACCAATGACTATCAGCCTCCGTTTGAAGATCTCTAGCAAAGAGAACTCATCACATCGTGCCACAACCTGTTCCACTGGCTGGACAGCTCACACAGCAGTCAGATCTTTCAGAGCCTTCGCTCTCCTCCAAAGCATTAACCCCCCTACTCGGCTTTGTGTTACCAGTAAACCAGGCAAGCGCCTCCTCAGCCCATCGCCCGAGTTGCCAATAAAAACGCTGGACGGCGCAGGGTCCCCAAGAGAGCCCAGAGGCCCTCCGCTCCCTACTCAGGTATCCACAGGGCCCCTGCTCTGTGCACTGGGGTAGGGACCTCAGAGGCTTGGGGCAGCACCCCGTCCTGCCGCCTCTGTGGCAGTGTCCCTGGTGACTCTGGCCACCAGCTGCTGCTTTCTCAGCTGCATATGCAGTTGTGGGCTTTTGCTGTAGCATAAGAGGATCCTCATGAAGAGGAATCATCTCCCTGCCTTCCACCTTACCTTGGTCTTTTCTGTGCCATAGCACCATGCCAAAGAAAAGCTGTGGTGGATATCAGGAAGACCACTTTTCCACAAAAATGCTTGGGGACAACGCGTTGTGATGGACTTACAGCAGGCCGACACGATGCTGAGAGTGGGCAGAGCAGGCCAGTTGCTCTCCGTGGTCTCTCAGGGAATGGACAGGGAGGCATAATAGCTCCCCAGATGAATGAAGATCATCGAAGAGCAGAACTGCTCTCACCAACCATCATGCTACCGTGGGTTTCATGGGGCGCATGGATCCCCCTCCCTGCCAACCACAGCACACCGAGGACAGGGAGAGGGAGGAAGGAGGGCAGCTCCTGCTTCTGCCCAAGCATGGAGCGCAAGCTCTTACCTCAACCAGGTGGTTGTCTGGCCCGTAGAGGTCCTTGTCCAGTTCAATGACCAAACTCTTAAAGAAGGAGGAAAACTTCCGCTTCTGTTTGCTAAGCTGTGGAATCGGGGGACAGAGCGCCATCAGCAGATGAGGAGTCGTAGCCTTGGCCCCCTCTTCTCCAGGGTGGACAAGAGCCCCAAGCGGACCCTGCCACCTCCGGCCCGCCCCCACGCCCCACCATCAGTCGCACAGCACGCGCAGAGGACTCGAGCACCTCCTTCGTGCTGCCCTGCCAGCTGCCACCTTTGGGAGCATCTGGCCTGTCCAGCAAAGCCCCCCCCAGCCAGCAGGGAGACGCTGGCTGGCCCTGGCATACATCATCAAGCAGCTTGCCCTCTACACGCAGCTCCCACGAGGCAATGCTGCCGTCCGAGTCGTCGGCATCTGACTTGGCAGGGTTGAAGGTGTTGGATATATAGAGGCGCAGCTTCCGCTTTTGCTGTTGGGCCAAGAGACTTCGGTCAGGGCCAGCAAGGAGCTGCTCCCGGGTGCTGCTTGCTCAGCAAAGGAACAGCTTCCCCAGCCCTTCTGAGGTGGCTGTGGTGCCCCAGACCTCGGCCTCCGTGACGGAGCCCTTGAGGGCTCAAGGGCCAGCTGAGCGAGATCGATTGGAAGGTGACCGCGGGAGGGCGTCGGCTGGAGGGACGCTCCCACGCTTAGGATTTCCAGCAAAATCTGGCAGTTGAGTGGCCCATCGGGCAGGGACAATTAGAAGCCCCTAGAAAAGCAGTGGGGTCACTTGCCCTCCAGAAAAGAGGGGCTCGGTCAGTGAGTGTTGAAAATGGGGGGGGGAGACGCTTCCCTGACGGAAAACAGAAGGCTGACCCGCCTCTGCTGCTCAGCCCCCAGGTGGCATGGGTCAGCCACTCCCACCTTCATGGGCCTCTTCAAGGCCTCCTGGATGTCCACTCGCTTTCGCATGATGGTCTGGTCCAGCTTACGCTCGAAGGCCAGGAGGTCCATGTAGGCCTGAGACTCAGGTACCAGCTCTCGGATCTGGGGAGGAAGCTGAGCATTGCGGTGCTGCCACACAAGGGGACGGAACCCCACCCCCACCCCAATTTGGAGAAGCTCCCAAATTCAGCCTTTAGGATCGGCAAGGCGGGGGGAAGCCAGACAGGAAGCGACTCCCTCCGAGAAAGTTGCTTCTGAGCATGGCAAAGCAGAACTAGGTTGGGAGGGCCCACTGCTGAGGCCCCCGGGGGGAAGGAGAGCTGGGGGAAGCGAGACCCACAGAGGAGGCCAAGGCAGGCAACAGCCTCAGAGGCGTAACGTGCCAGCAGGAACTGCTGTGCACCGACGCGTGGTGGTTTGTGGGTCTGCAGCACTGAATTCAACACAAAGAGGGGGTCCAGCTTTTATCTTGCTGACCCCTCCCACCCCATCCACCCCTGCCAGGTCCCATTAGCAGCCAGGCAGCGCAGCTGGAGAGACTGCTTTTCTGCAGAGAACTAGCCCAGGACATGCCCGACCTCAGACCTGCCACTGTGTCCATTCCAGAGGCCCAGGGATGGTTTGGTGCATGAAGACTGATGTGCACTGACTCGGAAGCAAGCCAGAATGATTCTGTGCCCCAGCAGGTCCCTCCCTCTGCCAGAAGGACAGCCGTGCTCCCAAAGTTGGGAGCCCTCCTCCCTGTCCAGAGGAACCCCCATCTTCCTCCTCCGCCTGGTTCTTCTCACCCGCCCAGCTGCCTGCTGGGAGGAGGGCGGGCTGCTCTGGTCCAGGCCCAGTTGCCTCTGAGGGCGTGCATCTGGCTGGGGGCTGCCAGAGCTCCCAACAGGGCAGGGAGGGTCAACCTCACCCCTTCCAGAAAGGAGATTTTGGAGGATGCTGCGTTATCCCAGCTGCACCCAGGTGGGTGAGGAGGGAGAAGTGGCAGCCACAGCCTCAGCACAGTTCCTTCTCCCGCTCCCGCTCCCCCTCCCTCATCTCATACCTGAAGCTCCTCAGGACGCACCTACGATCAGAGGGAACAAAACAGGAAACAGCCACTCACCCTTTGAGGGAGAATTTTATCCGCCATTTTTCTCCTCTTGGCACTGTACGGTGTGCAAGAAAATAAAAAACAGATTCCCATCGTGACTAGTAATCAGAGGAACAAGCCCCCCGGCTGCTAAGCTTGGCCTCAGAGGAGGGGCCTCCAGGGCTCTGCCTCACAGGTCTGCGGCCCGGAGCCAGAGGAGCCGCCCTGTGGGGCCCTTGGTCCGAGGAGGGTCTCAGGGGTTTCTCTCAGCATCTCCTTCTCCTACCCACGCACACTTATGCTCAGACTCTCAGGGACGCAGCCAAGGCCAAGCTCCCTGTAGGTCCCGCTGGCTCTTTCACAGGTTCACTACCCACGGAAGCTGCAGCCCAGGAAAAGCAGCAAGGCAAAAGGCCCCCGGCTGCTTCCAGGTCCTGCCTGGCACACAGCCAGCGACTCGTCGCAGAGTGCAGGAGTCCTCCTCAAGCCACACCTGGGGCAACTGCCAGGGTAGCTTTCACCAATTTGGTTGGCTTAGAAGCTGCCCCTTCCTCCTCGAGGCTCCGTGCACAGCCACCCCAAGCCGCATACCGGGCAGGAGAGGGCAGCCATCCCAACCTCCAGCTGGGGCTTGCAAAGGCTGCGCTCCTCTGCCAGACCCTCCCTCCAGGCAAATCAGCAGAGACCTGGCTCGGGAAGCGGCAGGGCTCCCGCCTGGCCCAAACGGCCCTCCGGACAGAGCACTTCTGTCCCCGCCGGCCGTGACAGGGCAGGGAGGTCCATCCGTCCTTCCTTCCTGGACCGTGGGAAACGGCTGCGTGGTCAGGAGGGAACCACCCACGGGCATCCTCCAGTGGCGAGGAGGCCGGCTGGGCTGTAGCTCAGTAACCGCAGCAGTGCCACGCGGCCGGCTCCCACCCACACCTCGGTCCTGAGCAGAGGAGAGGCGAGGCCCTGGCACCTGCCGCCACTCACCTCCGGGACCGGTTCTGCGTTGCAGCTCCCTGCTGCTGCTGCTGCTGCTGCTGTTGCTGCTGCTGCTGTTGCTGCTGCTGCTGCTGCTGCTGCGGCGGCGGCGGCGGCGGCGGCTGCTGGGGGGCCGCCCGCTTGCGTGTGGGCTCCATCACCGCCTGCGGCATCCCAGGGCGCACAGAGGGGCTTCCAACATAGGGCGGGCCTGGGGGACCCATCGGGGCCCCCTGGTGGGGCATGCGAGCGCCCGATGGCATCCCAGGACGCTAGGTGGGGGAAGAAGGAGGAGGCGGCATCAGCGGGGGCAAAGCAGCTGGGCAAAGGGGAGCGCTGAGCTCAGGGCCAAGGGGAGCGGCACACACAGGGCTCACGAGCACGGGAGCGTCAGCCGTCCCGATGCAGCCAGGAGGGTGGCCATCGTGCCTGGCCAGCCTCCTGAACCGGAGGCCCATGGCTCCCCGGCTACAAGGGACTCCTCCTGAGAAGTCAGCACCAAAACACCCGGGAGGCCAGGACCTCGGGCCTCCGCTCGCCCAGCAGAGTCCCTTCTGGCTGACGGAGGGGGCAGGCACGCACACCTGCGCCCACAAGTCTTTTCACTGAGGTGCTTTCTGTGCCCTCGGCCGAACCACATCCCCTAGCCGAGCTGGCCAGCGACCGGAGGTGAGAAGCAGCCTCCTTAGGTCAGGCGGGACTGAGGGCAGTTTCTTGAGCCAGGCCAACAACTCTGGCAAAGAGGAGGTTTTTCCTCCCTGCCACTCCCCCCACGGCGGAAGCCCTGCACGCACAGCGGTGGAGGCAGAGGCGGCTGACCGGTTCAGAAACCCTCCTCTGGGAAGCTTCCTTTAGGACAGGGGCTCCAAGTGTCCCTCCCTGAGAGCCCACGTTCTTCATGCAGACCCTTCTACTGAGGAAACCAGGGGGCTCCGAGGACCCTGCTGGGATTCGACAGAAGGAAGGAAGCTGTGGCCGTGGGGCTGTGCTGGAGCCCCAAGGGCCCACGGGCTGCAAAGCCACCAAAGCCAGGATGGTCCATGGGCACACCCGGGATAAATTAGGATACCCAATGCTCCGAAGGGCAGTGGGGAAAAATCGTGACCAGAGAGGAGCTATGGGCAGGTGGGCTCCTTGGCACCAGCGACAGTGTTTTCAAATGCCAGCCTCTTTTTTGTCATCTCTGTGCTGGAGCAGGAGAGGCCCCAGCTTTGCGCAGAGGGCTAGCCCCCAGCTCTGATGAAGGGAGAGTGAGAGGCCTCTCTCTGGGATGAGAGCAGAGGGTGAAATTAATTGGCTGTGAGTGGGAAATGAGTTTCTACAAGGGAGGTCTGGGGGGAATTAATTACCCAACTAAAGCAAAATTCCATTTGGGGAGATCTGCACAGTGAATTAAGGGAAACTGGTTGGGGAAATCTGAATGGAAATTAATTGGGGGGGCAGGATAAACTAATTGAAAAGGAAAGGAATGTGGACGGCGTCCCAAGTGAAGCTCAAATCTCACTTGCTGTGGCTGGAAAGGCAGGAAATTGGTCCTGGTCAAGCTGAGCTCCCAGCAACCCGCACAGGCCACCTGGCACAAGGGCAGAACCTGGACACGTACTGGGGGCATGGCCATCACTGCTACTAACAGGGACTCGCAGGAGCAGAAGAACACTGAGCGGTCCTGGGAGAAATTTGGTGGGGGGTATGAACGGTCCCTCCTTACCCTAACCCTGCTGGGAGCCCCCTTTCCACTGGAGCTTCTCCCAATATGGAGCAGAGCAAGCAGGATATCGCAAGGCCTGTTTTGGCCAGTGAGAACCCCTTCCTCAGAAGAGTAACCTGGACTAAGCCATCTCTGGCCGATTTTAGCGACCACGTCTTCAGAGAGAGATTACTTAGGGTTATTTACCCCACTTTCTACTATGTTAAGGATACACAGAGGGTGGGAACGTGCGTGTTGTAAAGCCTCAGGAAGATTTACAAGAATGTACTTGGAAATCCTTACAGTCTGGTCTCAATAATCCGGGGTCCTGAAAGTTTGTGCTGACCTTCCGCCATTAAGCCTTCAGGAGGGGAGGCCTTGCAGAAGGTGCCCGAACAAACCATCTTAGCACCTAAGGTGCAAAAGGCCAAATCCAAGATGGTCACCACCACGACCGTTTTTCATCCACAGAATCCCAGCGGATCCTCCACAGACGCTCCACCTCCACCGCATCTCCCCTCCCGCCTGCCACCCTCCAGCCAGACTCTTTTGCGTCCTTCCCCGCAGCAGCCCAAGACCGCAGCTTCTCCCAGGGCCAAACCACCACCGCCCGGCCAACGCCACCTCTTCCAGACCCACGCCAGCTGCCACAACCTGCCTCTCCCTTCTTCCTTCACGTTCGCGAGCTCCGTCACACCCAGCAGCTCCCTCCCACAAGGGCAGGGGGTAGGGCTGGTTGGGGATACTGATATCCCACTGCAAAAATATAGGAAGTGTAAATGCAGGAGACTAAGTTGTTGCTCCCGCCTTGTCCCCGCCTTCCCTTCCCCACTGTTCCCAAGTGGGCACTCCTCAGAGCAGAGACCACCCCTCTAAAGCACAGAGACCTGAGTAATAATGCTAATCGCGGTCATCTGCAGAGCAGCAGAAGAGAAAACCAACAAGGGGGCAGGCAAGTGCCAGCCTGCAAGAGAACGCTGGCCAGGACGAGGCAGCGAGGGCACCAGTGGGCTTGCAGAAAGCCCATTAGTGCCTCTCCAGACTTCTTGCAAACACTGATGACGTTCAGAACTGGGAAGCTCAGAAGCTGGCAATGGAGCAAGCAAAGAACCAGCCTTTAGCATCGTGAACTTATCTATGAATTATTCTAGATTCCACAGTGGGTGTTCTTGGAGAAGAAAAGGGCGCGTAGCTGCAGCTTCATGCTTTCTTTGAAAATGTGCCCACCTTGCCAGAAAAAAGGAAAAGATCATCCGAGGTAACAGATAACATCCTAGAAGCTGGGAGAATAGCCGGCAGGAATTTCATTAGCTTGCCTTGGGGTTAAGGGATCCCTGGCAGCCACTTTGGGAACAAGATCGTTCTCTGTGGCAGCCATTTTGTGAGATGGCTGCCAAAATTTCATGATGCCCCCAAAGTTTACCCCCTCTAACCAAGGGCTGGAGAAGGAGGGCCTTCTCCTGTGAGGGAAGGCCTGAAAGCAAGCGGGGAAGACAACAGACCGTGCGGGGCCAAAGATTCAGCAGTGTAGAACCAACAAGACTTCTGCAACCCTTTTCCTCTGCCGGAAAACACAGAGACCGACAGCAGGAACTCCAGGCCATCCGTCCCTTGTGAATCCGCCATTCCTCCTCAAAATGCCATGAGGGAGAGGACTGTGCAGGAATGCTGCGGTGGCCCAGCAAGCTTGGTTACAGCACAAAAACAAAAAGGACACATGACGGGGCTGGAAAGAGGGCCAGGTGGGAAGACGGGGCTGGACGCCAAGGAAGCTACAGGTCCTGAGCCGAGTTTGGCAAAGACGCCAAGGATGATAAAAGGACTTCTGCAGAGGCATCCGTTAAAAAAGGAAGAGGGAGAAACAGGCCATCTGCTCAGTGCCAACAGGGAATCCCTACTTTGGCTCCGGGTTCTCCGGAAAAGGGCCCTGCCAGACAGTCGTGAAGGCAGACTGCAGGCTCCGGACTGCAAGGGGAGAACACCAGCGACACGGTCCGGAAGCGCCTTCTTGTCCTGAAAGAACTTAAATCCTCAGGGCCAGAGGAATCGCCTCCTGACGGCAGTCTGGCAAGATGATTATTATCTTCCAGAGAACAAACGAAGCCCCAGAGAAGCCCCCGCCCGTGGAACGAGGACCCAGGAACTGCAGACCCTCAGCAGGATCCTAGAGGAGGTCATACAGTACTTCATTTATAAGCACCCAAAGCCACTGTGAATTTGTCAAGAACTGCCTGAGACATAACATGTCTTCATTTCAGCAAAGCGTTCGACAAAACACCCCGTCCCATCCCATCCCATCCCATCCCATCCACAGCCAACTGTGGGCAGGATACCATGCAGGTCAGTAGACAGCCAGCTCAAATAACATTTCCCAACGGTTCGACCCAGACGAGGTTCAGTCCTGGCCCTTCTACTCATCAACATTTTTATGGATGACTTAGACCCTGACGATTAGAGGAATGGAATGAAAACTGCAGAATAACATGTACGCTGCATCCTGGGGCTGTGCAGTGCACAGGATCCAAAGCCAAAAAAGGGCACTCTTGAGGCCTCCTCAGAGAAGCCGTGCCACCTGTTCCTGGGCTCGCAAGGCAGCCACATGATCCCCGGAAAACGCAGGCAAAAATTAAGGAGGCGCAGTCAGGAGTCGGAGCGGGCACGCCATGGGCATTTCCTTCATTCCCACATCCATCTCCCTGGGATCTGGCGGCTGCTGCTGCTTTAAGGAGGTGCTGACAGGTGCAATGGACATGCCCACATCTGCTCCAAAGCACCTTTTTGAGTTTAGTTCCATGAACAGTACGCTCCTCTGACATGCATACACGCGTGCCAATTGAGCTGTTTCCTTCCAGGGTTTAAAACACACAGAAAACAAGTGAGAAATAGTAAGCCAAAGGAATCACAGGCCAGAGAAACAGGAAAGGGACTCTGCGCCCCAACCATTCGCTGTGACCTCTGCCAACCCGTCTGCCCCTGCCTCCACTGTGCCCACCCGCGGCTTCAGGACTAATTCTTTCAAGTTCCCTGCTTCCTTTCTCAGGATCTCATCGTCTCCACCCAAGCACGGCGGCCTCAGCCTCCTCGTCCGTTCACGCTTCCTTCCACCACCTGCCCTGTGGGCCAGTCCCCGCTCATCCTCTCCAAATGGCCGGACCACCTCAACAAACTTCTCTGGTGCTTGTATTCGACCCATATTCATTCAGCAGCCATACATTTTTGATCCTCGCTCTTTTTGTTTTACCACATGCATTTATTAAGTAATTCATTCCCACTGTATTCATCTGTCTCTTAACATACATAGCTCTCATTTCCATGTAAAAAAAGTGGGCAGAAGTTTTTTTTTAACTACAGCCATTTTTGCTTCTTCCAACATTTATTCCTCCCCACAGACCACAAACTGCCCAGTACCCTATCAATTTTTGCAAATCTTAGCATTTCTCTATCCATTTCCCAATCTTTAATAAACCTACCAAGAGACCTGCTACTTGCTCTAATTTTTCCCTTTATATCTATCTAACGTTCATTGCAAATCATTTGGGTTCTAAGCAACACACTTCTAACCTTAATTGAAGCATTCCTTATGCC